ACCCTTCCGGTGCAGCGTTTTGATGTGCTGTGCTGGAAGGGGTGCTAAAGAGCCACACGCTAGCTCTTAGGGTGACTCCTGAAAGGAACAGCATTTTGCCACTCTTTTTGGGGCAGCAAAAAGGAGGATCAGGGCTGTGGCATGCAGCAGCAGCGGCCCTGATCCTCTGCTTTCTGGGGCGGCCTACAGCTGCCCATCTGCAGCCACCCAAAAACAATTTTCTCCAAGTATTTCTTTAAATACTTTCCATAATTTTTTTTCCTTACTAGCTTCCACCCCTACCTCTAATGCCTTGGAACAGAGGTTTGTGCAGTATACAAAGCATGGTGATCAGGTGCAGATGAGAGGGGACATTTAAAGGGAAAGAGGAAGTTTAGAGGGAAAGAAGAAGTTATGCTAGTGCCACTACTAATGGTGTGCCACTACTAATGGTGAGCCCCACCCTGCAAAACAGTGTCAGAATTCTTCTTAATGGAAATAATTGAAAACAACCATACTCTCTAATTAGTCTATATCTGAATTGCTTTTGTTATGTTCCTTCCAGTCTTTTCTTACTTATGGTTCCCCTGAGGTGAAACTACTATGGAGTTTTCTGGGGCTGAGACTGTGGAGATTATCAGTCACCTGAAAGTGATGGGAGAAAAGTAGGACACTCCCATTGCAGTTGTGTGATTGGGGCAAGAATATCAGATGCCATTGTGCAACATCACCATTATCCCGTCCTTGTACCATTCATGGTTTTCATTAATGGGAGTTTCCTGTTAATGAAAAGTGAAAGAATAACTCCTCCCATGGATGGGACAAGGGCAGGATAATGGCAACGTCCTCTGATATTCTTGCCCCAACCACACGATTGTGATGGGAGCATCTGGCTTTGCTCCCATCAATTTCAGGCATTTGATAATCTCCTATGTGACTTGCCCAAGGGCTCCCAGTAGGTTTCCATGGCCAAGCAGGGAATTGAATCCTGATCTCCAGAGTTGTAGTCCAGTGTTCAAACCACTACACCACACTGGCTCTATACATAAATGCAGGGGGCAATTCCACTAAGCCACCTGCTATTTCAGAAAGAAATTAGGACAGAAAGACAGATATAGGAATGCCCCTTTGTTGAGAATTTGAAATTCATTCAAAAAATGTCCTTGGTCATTATTTAATAATTTTGTCCCTGAATTCACCTTTAACTCCATTGTTTCCTCCATCCTCACTGATCTACAGTTTGTTAAAAAAAGGAGGGGCATGACAATTTTTATTTAAATACATATCTGGACCCATATTTACAATATATTCTCTCTCAAATGACACAACTATACATGTCTTCTCACTAGAAATTCTTGTTTGGGGTGCATTTTGATTTTTTTTAAAAGCAAAAAATTCCATGGGAACAGTGAGAGAAGTGAAAAACAGTGGAGAACTCAATCCAATGTTGAAGTTACTAGACTGAATTCAGATCCATAATTCTAGTAGTTCTTACTCTAATGGATGTAGAAGTGTACATCAGGTCAATCTGAATCAGAAATCACAAAGACTTTGTTAACAGAGGAGACTTCTGTTATATTCCTCTCCAAGTGATGACTTGCATCTGCAGATGATTTCAGATATTTTGGGGCAGTTGCAAGAAGACATTGTAGAGAAAGTGTTCTCGTTCTGTCTTGGTAACATAATGAGACGGCCTTCAAGCTGCTAATTGTCAAGGAAGGTCTGGGTCCTGCCATGTACCAAGGTGTGAAACAACTTCTTTTTGAGTTCACCATGAGGGAATAAGAATAGATGGTGACAATAACTGATGCTGGAATAATGCAGCAAGACTTTTAAAAATATTGATCAAGTGAAGGGGATGTTTGCTGCCTTCATTTTAGGCAACAAAATGTTTTGGGCTGACACTGTTTTCAAGTGTTTAATGATCATGAATGTTTCTGCATATTTATTTTTATAGACAGAATCTATAATCAATGTTATCTAAGTTCTGAAGACATTCTTATTTGTGTCCC